AAGAGAGAAATGAATTACAGTAGATGGGGTAGAGAGAGAAGATGGGAGGGGAGGGGAGGGGGGATAGTAGAGGATAGAAAGGGCAGCAGAACAACAGACATTAGTATGGCAGTATGTAAAAATGTGGATGTGTAACCGATGTGATTCTGCAATCTGTATATAGGGTAAAAATGGGAATTCATAATCCACTTGAATCAAATGTATGAAATATGATATGTCAAGAGCTTTGTAATGTTTTTAACAACTAATAATAAATAAATAAATAAATAAATAAATAAATAAATAAATAAATAAATAAATAAAAGAAAATCTGCTCAGGGTGGATAAAGTCTTTCTATGGGTGCCTCACTTTTACCACAGTTGAGGGATCTTGGAAAGCAGTCTATCCTGGGTGTTACACCCTCAGGTCATTTGAGTCACTGAGTGCAAGTATTAAAGGACATTCAGTTTATAGGTAGGGGACTAGAACAGGCTCAGGGTATTCTAACCAGTTCTCCCTTATCTCAGGATGCTATATTCCTAGCACATTCTACCATTATTCTTGAAAACTAAATGAGACATGGGGAATATTACTGGTTTTGCTGTGTTATTACTAACATCACAGATTCAGCACGATTTGGAAAGTCTGAATTCTGTGTGTTGGGGGAATAGGGGAGTGACACAAAAATGTCTAAGATGCTAGAGGGGAATGAGAATAATAATAGTATTACCATTTTAAAAAAAACTAAGAAGGTTGTAATGTTGAAGTAAATATAAGTTATACTTTATAAAGTAGTAAAATGTTCAAATCAAAAAGGGTCTAGGTTACCCAGTGGCTTGGGAGGTTGAGGAAGAGGATCAAGATTTCAAAGCCAGCCTCAGCAACTTATTGAGACAAGAAGCAACTCAGTGAGATCCTGATTACAAATAATGAGAGGTTTTCCAGTAGTCATAATACTGCCTGGTAGAGAAAATAAAATGAAAACTTAGAGGATGTAGACAGTATTTTTCTTGAAAGCGAAGCAACTGGGGATGTAGCTTAGTGGTTGAGTTTCTCTGAGTTCAGTCCTCAGGACCCTCCCCTCTACCAAAAAAAAAAAAAAAAGGTCTAGATTAGACAACAACAATTCTTCCCCAGATCTCAGGGTAATGGTGGTGGTTTTCGTTCCTTTGAGAACAGATAAAAGCAATCAGATC